CTTCCAAGTAGTAGATACGATTGGGGACGATGATTGAAAATATCTTTGAGTTTCGCACTTCCACACGCAGAAAACTGCTCCAAGGTACCTCGCCCTTGCGGACCATCGTCTCGGGATCAACATAGAAGAGATGTGGACCCTCGGTCAGCAGGAAGACACGCTTGCGTGCAAATAGGCCCCGGCGCTTATAGAGAACTCCCTGTTTTACTATTAAACGTCCACGTACGAAGCGATGGAAAACGTTCTCATTGGCCTGCTTTTTCAATAGCTCGGCCCTGTCAATCTCAGTGACTTGGCTTGCCGCCAGTTTGAGTTCTTGTGAGAAGAGGTACTTCTGGCCCTCCGTATAGCCTGCAGGGACCTTATCCCAGTCGTCGTATTCCAGAGGCTCTAAGTTGGGTAGAAGAGTAGGCGGCTGCTTCTGAATTAAGCTGTCCCAATCAACACCGGCAAAAAAGGGGTGAGACCGAACGGCATTCGGTCCGCCAGAGCTGGGGCTACCGAGCCGATCAGACGGAGAAGCCACCAGCAACCGCTGAACAATATCTTTCGCTTCACTGTCAAAGCGCTCGGGAAACGCGTAGTCCAAAGCAAGAACTTTCCGGAAAACGTCGAATTCATGACCATGCTTGTCGGGCCGAAAGGGCGGGCGACCTGACAGCATTTGATATATTACACAGCCAAAAGCCCAGTAGTCCATCAAGTACACAAGGTCAGTCGACTTTTCGTCCTTGTCGGGGGAATTTTTTGACCTGGTGGGAGCTCGGTTTTCCGAGTCTTTTAGTCGGCCGGGGGTTTTTTTTTCCGACTCATCGTCAGAGGAGGATGAGGGGGAGGATACGGAGGATGGGGAATCAATTTGGAGCATTTCCGGACTAACGTACTGGGGTGTGCCCGTGAAAGTGGGCGCCTTTACAGAGGGATCGTTCAGGATTATGGCTGATCCAAAATCTGCCAGTTTAATGTGCATGTCAAGGGAGAGAAGGACATTTTCCGGTTTGACATCACGATGAACAATTGACTGGGAATGGAGGTATTCCAGAGCTAAAAGAAGCTCAGCCGAGTAGAACTGAGTGCCTTCTCGGTTGAAAGACGTGAGTTTGTTGAGGTAGGCGAGGAGGTGACCACGTTGAGCATACTGTAGCACATAGTAAAGACGATGCTGATCCTGAAAGGTATAGTGGAGACGAATAAGAAGGGGGTGGTTGGTCCGTTTCAGTACTTCCTTTTCCATAAGGACAGAGAGTATGGCCTTGTTGCGACAGACATGTTCCTTTATGACCACCTTAATAGCGTATTCCTTCTGAGTACTGATCTCTTTGGCCACATAGACGGTCGAGAAGGAACCACTGCCTAGCTCACGACCAAATTTGAAATCTGAAGGCTTTGGTGGCACAGGCATAGTAACGGAAGACGAAGGGGGACTCGTAGTAGCCGTGGGATTGGCAGAAGGGGTGGTCTTGAAAGTGGCACCGCCAGAGGCTGGAGCCGTTGAGGGCGCGGACAGGACGGTGGAACGTCCATCGCCGAGACCGCTGCTACCGGATTGCATACGACGAGATCGAACTCCACTCAAAACTAAAAATAATGAGATTTCGAATTATAAATTCGCAAAAAAAACAATTTTTCTAATCTGTTTAGGTGTGTGACAAAATGTGACTGGATGATGAAAACCTAGCAAATCCAAAATGTTCGAGTGCTATCATGCAATGTGTGGTAACCTCCGCGTTCGTCCAGTTCTTCTAAAATAAGCACTTTTAAACTTGTTTACTTGGCTAATATATTAGCAATGATATTCAAATTCATGCCTACTGTACGAGAAAGAAGACACAATCGTTGTTTCCAATAGCTGCCGACAAAGAATGAAAAGGACCTATAAAAGGCGCTTAAATTAGTCATGAGGACAATAAATGGGGATGAGCGAATACCCTTACGTAGTAGACCGACTGTAAACAGGACACAAATGAGTTGATCGCGCAGGTACTTAACTATGCTGGTGTAAGATGCTGGCTAAAAATTCTTCAAATGTGGCGTGCGAATAAGAACTTGTAATTCAACCCTATGACTCATGCAACATACTTTCATGAATACGTTTAAGTCAGTAGAAATACGAGCGAGACCGCGAGGCTTTTCTAGCGGCTCAGAATCGTTTACGGAAAGACTGTGGATTGTGGTGGAGGAAATGTATATTCCTATTTTTGAGTTTGTATTGACAGTGATTCTCGAAGAAAACGGAATGCCAATGTAACATAGTGCGTCGCCGATGTTAATGATCACAATAATCAAAAACAAGAAAATACTGTGGAGCTAAAATGCGAGACTGAAAAGTGAAAACAAGATTGCAACTTCCCTTGATGTCTGTGAAAACCGGCTCAGCTTAAGGACGTTGAAGTGCCTTCAGATGCTATTAGTTTAAAAACTTCAGCTTTACGCACGGAGCCTAAGACCTTGGTGTACGGAATGGACGTTAGGTTTCCGACAAACGCCCATTAATAAGAGAAAAACCGGTAAGGATCACCTGTATGACCCCTCAAATGGACATGGGAATATGAGCACTTCACCCAAATAATAAAGGTGGCCCTGCGCATACTTCCAGAAAACATACATATTTTCGTGTCCCTAGCATTTGGCGTAATATAAAACTAGACCGTAGCCCTAATTTTAACCCTAATTCCACCCTAAATTCTGAGCCTGTACTTAGTACAAACCCTAACCGTAGCTCTAAATTTAAAACTAATGTACCTTAACCTTAAAACTAATGCAATTTTTTCCGGGAATTTGGCGTAGACACCTGTATTGCAGGCGGTTCCAGTTCTCACTTTCTCCTGTGGGAAGGCCAAACACGCCATATGTATGATAATCCCTAGTTCCGAGTCTGACTACGTTACCCCGTCAACTGTTTGCTTTTTAGTCATGACGGGTGGCCACCATGGCTGCATAAAAACACACAACACTATTTTAAAGAAGATTAAGTAGTGAATCCGAGCGAAACTATCTCTAGCACTGCCATGGCAGGCCAGAAGCAAAAAGGGTTCAAACCAACTGGAGAAACGACTAGGTACAGTGTCACATATTACCTGGTGCTTTGGTTGTTGTCTACGAGGCCGAATTACACGCTAAGTTAGTGGGTGGTCTTCAACACTGAGTGTCTGCGTTTATCATGTGAATAAAGACCGTGTTTCTGACAAGTCGGACAAAAATCGAGCGGCTTGTCAACTTCGATGAGCAATCCATCATATCCTCGCTTTGCAGGTAGCAGGTTAATTCCTTTTCAGCCTATGTATTGCAATGTAACCTTTCTCAGAGGAGAATCTTTTATGTAGTGCGGAGACTGTGCAACAACAAGAAATCGAGATACAGAGGTATCCCCGTTGAAACCCGGCATTCTGACTTCTTTAGATGGTTGAGAAAGCTTGCGAAGATTAGGCCGTTCCTGGTGACTGGGATTCGAAAATAGTTGCGCTTGCCTTGAAGAAGGGGGAAAAGACGAGTTGCGAAAAGCACTGCGATATAGGCGTCGCAGATGTGGCTGTGACAGTTTTCACTGTTGTCATTCTAAGGCGGTGTTAGAATGTAAGCGACATGAGAACTAAACCTAACCAAGTCGGTTTTTGATCTGGGCGTGGGGATGATAACAGATATTCCTATTGTGACTTAGTCATAAATCACATAACAGCTGTCTGAATGCCGATCGCCTGCTCTGTTGATGATGCCGGAGCGTTTGAGTCCCTGTGTTGAAGAACGGAATTAGATGGTGTGCTGACAAAAAGTATCGTTATGGTCAGGGTGCACTACCATTCCACCACTGCACAAGTTCGGATCCATGGAAATCTCCTGATTTGATCCGACGTTTGACAAGGTTGCATTCCAATTCTTTTTCTGTTTAGCTACACAATTGAGTAGATTTTCAAAGACTCTGGTGTACAATTTGCACTTATGTGCCGTCTAACTGGCCTCAATCACGCTGACGCAACATCTCCACTGCTTAAAAAAGTCATGGGTACGAAGCATCCGCCTGAGCAGTTTTCCTATAAGACGATGAATGCCGATTTCGCGTAGATGAACGAAAATAAGAGTTGTGTAGCCATGGCTGCCTGAGAACCACCCCTAGAATGAAGCATACTAACTTGGTTTCAAATAAGATAGTCCAACTTTTCTGCGAAAAAGCCGGGAAGACATTTCAGGACATCCCAGTTTTTTTTTACAGGTTATTCGTCAACCAGCTCGGTGTCACTGCTATCTACCTGGGGACATGGGAGGGGGTTAGTTAACAGCCTGGATCGGTACAGGTCGCTAATGCATGCAATTGGTTCTTGGATGTTCTGCGGAGGGAATGGGTCGAACTCTCCGGATGTGTCGCCACAAATCATCACGCATGAAGAGGTACTATTCGAGACATCATTGAGGTAGACTAGATCACTCATGAACACAGCAGTACCAAACACAAGTACACCAACTTTCACGCATATGATGCTTACTCAGCATTGGTGACATGGGTAAATGTCAACGTGCTATTGTTAGACGGCCAATGGGAGATATTACAGGAAGTTTTTTTGTATGCATACAGGACTGAAAAGGATCATAGCATGGGAATGTGCAGGAACGAATTTGGCGAGTAAGACAAGCCTGGCGGATGGCGGTTGGGCCTTCGACATTTGTCAAGTAGGACCAGTCCAATGTGTGAGAGAAATGTGACGTCGTAGCGGGCGGCAGGTGGGCACGAGTGCTGAGTACACATGAGAATGCAGGGTAAGCATGCATGCAGGTGCTTGAGTATGTGCAGTTCTGGTACAAGTGGTGGACGATATTTTGGCAACAACTGTTGCACGCGCTTATGATTGCATATGTAACTATGATGCGTGGATGGACAGTCAGGAAAAACCGACTTGACAGAAGCTGGTCGAGTAGAATGGTAAGACGCTTTGTGATGCATTCGCAAGCGTCTGACTAATCTGATAGTGTTTGGGAGGCACCATCACTGTGCAGAACCACAGCTAAGGATGGCATTGAAAAGGTGACCGTCAAAAAATCAGATAGTACTGGGAAACGCAGTAATGTAGAGTTCATTCATAAATCTGCTGCGACAGCAAGCCATACCTAAGCGCCTTCTCAAAATAGACTATTAAACCATGGCCACAACCCTCTGGGAAGATCGAAGCTTTTTCCCCTTTCAAGCACTTCAAACACCGCAGTTATAACTGCTTTCCGGGAAACATAATAGATGCAATATTGAGACTGAGCACCAACGATAAACTCATCCAGGATTTTGCAAAATTTCTGACCTTAAACACTTATACCGCCACTGTGGCACTGTAGCTCTATGAGGAAAGTAACTAAGTTTGAATAGACATATCGACCCAGCTGGTTAGGATTCGGTCGACATAGGGTATAATTGTGTGAATTTGGTCTAGTTATTGTCGGTTTTTTTAAATAAAATGCAAGACGACGGAAAACCTATATATTTATGGAAAATAATAAAACAAATTGGTAACAGTACAAGGGCGACTTACCAGGATATAGTCGCAACTACTCTTCAGAACGTTAAACAACAAATTTATTAATAGCGCTTAAAGCCATTAGGGATTTAAACACATCTGCCGTCTAACATCCCGTCGGCAGAAACGTTGGTGACCTTGAGCAGAATTCGGGAAAAGATATTGCTTTTCTAGGAGGAGCTGCAAGCCTGCATGTTGATGTACACTGTTCCCGCAAGGTCTTTGAGTTTGCGTCTGCACTTTAGGCGACATTTACTCAAAAAATTGACAATCCCTAGAACGATAATTTTATTAGCCTACGACTTTATATTTACACTTGAGTGATCTGTTAACTGTGGATGTGAGAAATCTTATAAAATGCTTGCTCTACCATTCATGTCTTCTTTTTTGCAGCAATTACCTTAAACTGAATTTCTCTTTGTGTTTGAATGAAACCTGGGTAAATGAGCGGATAGCAGATGCAGAAGCCAGACTTGACGGATTTCTGCCTATCCACCTGGATTAAAATGAACGCGGGGACGTGGATTCCTGATACTCATAAAAGAATGGGTTACATACGTTCCTGGATGGGTTATCATCAAACAGAAAATGTGGAAACGCCCAATGATCTAGGCATGTGGGCAACCGAGACCTTGATACCATCAGAGTACTGTAAAAAGGCAGCCCATAATGCAACTACCACGCTGCACTGAATCAGCCGAGCATTAAAAATATTCCCATCTTAACTCTTCGGAAGAATATTTGACGCCTTTCTGAGACCACATCTTGACTACGGAACGCCAGCTTGGGCCTCGTGATTGAAGAAATTTGTAGACCTTCTCGAAGACGTTCAACGGAGAGTGACGAAGATGGCCGATGGTCAAAGGGACTTAACATATTAGAAGAGATCGATAAAGCTTGATCTATTTACATTTTCATAAAGGCACTTAAAGTGTAGCCTGTTCTGGACATTTCGGATGATCCGGGTCAATGTTTCCTCCCCTAGACTGGATTACATCTTCGATTTAGCGAACACAATTCACTTGTGTGACTATCCTTATAAGGTCACTTGAATGGA